GCTGGGTGGCACGTGCCTGTAATCCCAGCTACTCAGGAGGCTGAGGCACAAGAATCGCTTGAACCCAGGAGGCAGAGGTTGCAATAAGCTGAGATCACACCACTGCACTCCAGCCTGGGTGACATCGTGAGACCCGTCTCAAAAAAAAAAAAAAAAAAAAAAAAAAAGAATTCCTCTTATTCTCAGGAGGGAAGGCATGAAGAGACTGGCTAAGCTTCTTCATTAAGGTTAACACTCTTAAAATAGAAGCAACTCTGCAATCACACAGTATCTTTTTGGTCTTTGCAGTTTATCCACTTAAAAAGTGGAAGAGATAAACACAAGGCTATTCTTAAAAGGGTATGATTACTGCAGAATATTCTGAAAGGATAGATCATTTCCCAGCCTTTGCTCATGCTATTCCCTCTACTGGATCCTCACACCAAGCCCAGCTGTTGTTTCTGTGTGTGTTTTGCAAAGGGAGTGCTCGGCTGGCTCGTTCCCTGCTAGCCCGTGGTCCACAGGCCTGACAGATCTTTTCTAGCCACACTTGAGCTCTGCCTGCCCCCGGCCCCCACGTGGCTTTCCTTCATCTTGTTACTGTGTAATTACATTTCTACCCTTGAGAAGATTTATGCCCATTTCCTACAAAGACTTCACAAAGTTGGCCCCACACTCAATGAGCTGACCCTCACTTAACCAGGTTAACCTGGCACTCTGACATTGATCAAGTCGATTTTGTGCATGACATCAGCCTTCTTTTTTTTTTTTTTTGAGACAGAGTTTCACTCTTGTTACCCAGGCTGGAGTGCAATGGCGCGATCTCGGCTCACCGCAACCTCCGCCTCCTGGGTTCAGGCAATTCTCCTGCCTCAGCCTCCTGAGTAGCTGGGATTACAGGCATGCGCCACCATGCCCAGCTAATTTTTTGTATTTTTAGTAGAGACGGGGTTTCACCATGTTGACCAGGATGGTCTTGATCTCTTGACCTTGTGATCCACCCGCCTCGGCCTCCCACAGTGCTGGGATTACAGGCTTGAGCCACCGCGCCCGGCGAGGACATCAGCCTTCTTACTGGAGAAGGGCACTTCGACTTGGGCTCTGTGATCTCATGACTCCTCATAACGCCACCATAAGCATATCACTCTCGCTTTATGGGTAAGAAATCTAAGGCCCACGGAGGTTATACAACTTACCCAAAGGTGCTGCTACCAGGAGTGGAGAAGCAAGGATTCAATTCAAGCTGCCTGTTGGCTAAAACTGTGTTCTTTTCAGGACATCATTTAATTCCACATTATGGCTTTACAAAAACACTCCCTACTTACCGACTTGAGGTCATTTTAAAGACACATAGAATAGAATCCATCCTCTTTTATGGTTTTGTTTTTTTTGAATGTCAAACTTAGATTTAGATCACCTGAGCTTTTTTCCTTATTTAACTCTGCTTTTTATCCTTACCGGCTTCCCAGTGTTTAAAAGATGAAAGTAAACAATTATTAAACATAGGAAGGAGCCACTTCCTAAGGCTATTCCAAAGACAGCAAAATAAATCTCACACTCAAAAAATAGAGAGAGAGAGAGATAGAGAGAGAGAGAGAGAGAGAGGAAGGTGGCAGGGGGTGCAAGTGGGAAGAACTGAAGTAATAAACTGAAGAACAGTAAAACAAACAGTTATTCTGGTGTGACTCCTCACAAGACAGTCTGTACAATCTTCTCAGTGCAAATATGAGAGCCTACACCAAAGACACCAGGAGAGCAGATTTAACATACTGCATTTGTAAGACATCTGCCTACAAGTTTGACTCTGGTCTTTCCAACAATTTAGATTCACAACACAGAGAGGAGCCATCTAAGAGCAGAGTGTAGAAAACCACAGGCACTATGGCAAACAATTTGCGGAAATTATTTATATTAATCACAGAAACAATTACTTTCCTAACATCAGTGATGATGGAGGAGGAACTTGCATGAATAACTCCAAATACTGGATATGCCGCTGTCATTTATTTTGGGTTCTAGAATATCTTCTGAGAGCTTATGACTTTCATAATTAAGACTATATAAAGCTAATAAGACTAACTTCAGTTTCTGCAATTGGAAGTCTCACTCCTTGAGAAAGAGAGAAAAAGAAAGGTAATCAGAAAGCCTGCTGACGCTGTGCCTGAAGGACACACAGGCTGGGGACCAGGTGAAAGTAACCCTGACTCTCTTATCTTTAATCGCTAAGGGAGGATATTGCTTACCATGTTGGAACTTGGAACTGACAATTTAGAATCCTCCGAGTCACTCAACCTTCCAAATGCCCACTGCCAATTGCTTTTTAAATGCAGTGAATGACATGAAAAAATTTGCATACTGGAGCTATAAACTCGTGTCACTTTCCAAGAGAAAGGGCAGCCCATATACTATAACTAAAAACCAGAATAGCATAAATACACCACTGTGGAAGCACGGCAAAGCAGAGAGTGGTGTCTTGATGCAATTGTGAGGAAGGGGCAATATGGAGTCAAGATGAATTTTAAAAACCATAGAATTTAAAATCATGTACCCAGATGTAAAACTACTTGTATGAGGAAGGAGCTAGAGTTTATTAATAGTGTCTAGGGGTTCAGTGGCTTTTCAGTTGTTATTTTATATTGTTGAGGAGATTGTTTGTGGTTGAATTTTAAAATTGAGATAACCATACTTGCTTTGGCAGTACATATACTAAAATTGGAAAGATATTGGGAAGATTAGCATGACCTCTGCATGAGAATGACATATAAATTCATGAAGTGTTCCATATTTTGTTTAACATTTCTGTAGACACTGGGGACTACTGGGTGTGAGGAGGAACAAGGGGTGAAAACTAACTATTGGATGCTATCAGGCTCACTACCTGGATGATGAGATCAGTCGCATCCCAAACCTCAGAATCACAAAACATACCCACGTAGCAAACTTCCGCGTGTACCCCTGAATCTAAAATAAAAGTTGGAAATTATAAAAATAAAATATAGTAAAAATAAAATTGAGATGACCGAAGAGATCATTTAAAAAACACAAACGCACTGCAAGTGCTTCTAGGCTTTGCTCCTACCTGTATCCATCTCATCCACATTGCTGAGGAAGTCCTCTGGAGTTGTGGGGACACTGTAGCACCCTAATCCCAGGCCACTGTCAGTGCTCTGCTCCCTTGAATGATATGGTCCTCTGCAAAAGATGGAGAAACTTCAACGTGAGCCCACTAAGTAAATCTCAAAATTAAAACAAAGTCACAAAAGCTCTAAACTAGTGTAATTGTGCCATTCTGCCCAATTTTCCAGGTTGGGCAGGAAGGAAAGCTGACTCCAATTCCCTTTAATTTTAAAATGTATAAACTCATGAAAATGAAAGTAATCATGTGTGGTCATTCACAATAAATTGACATTGACTTCCTTTTCACCTCAAATGAACCATTTGAACACTCTTCTACATACAGAGTATGACACCATTTATGTAAGACTTTTTAAAAAACAAAAACAATGTTGAATATTGCTTATGGATACAGAGACTAACAGGCAGTAAGAGCTATAAAAATCTATGTGATGGACACACACCACTTTCTGAAAATGGTTACCACTGGGAACAAAAGGGAAGAGAAATGAAATTTCAGTGGTTGGGGGATGGGTTCAAATATTAATTATAATCTTTATTTATTAAAAATAAGACTGGATAAAAATATGGCAAATCTGGGTAATGGGTACATGGGTAACTCATGTTATTCTTTCTACTTTTCTGTATTTCAAATACTTTAAAATCCACAACTTTAAAACTCCATTACTTATTATTTCAGCTACTGTTTGTTTTTATCTCTATCTTTAATAATGTTCATAATTGTATTTGTTTGCTTGCCAGATCCTTCTGCAAGGGCAGAAGAAAAGTCATAGGAAATAGAGCATTGCCCTTTTTATTTGATTTAAAAACTACTTTGGCTCATGAAGCTATTTCTGGCTAAATTCTCTTTCCCTTTTGCTCCTTTGTTTTAATTACTTTTTAAATTGTGAAATAGTTTTAAACTCACATAGAAGATGCAACAAGAGTACAGAGAATTCCCATGTACCCTTCCTTCACCAGCTTCCCCAGTGATAACATCTTACATAACCATAGTGCAGTTACCAAAACCAGACTGTAGAATACTATTAAGTAAACTATAGACCTTACTCACATTTCACCCTGAACATCATCTTAATTGTTCTGTTCTCAATTTGCCATACAGCATGCTTTTATCCCCTATTGGTTACATAAAACCACAAGATTCTTCCAAGTACAAGTACTAGACAACACCATCGTGTTTAAATTATAGGTTCACGCCTATTTTCAAATTCTTAACTAGGGATTTACTCTGTATTATATCACCAATTTTTTAATTGGGGAATTTTTTTTTAAATGTAGATGATTTTCCTTGCTTTACTTTTTTCTGCCAGCTCCTCCCACTTCCTTCCTTTATTTTCACCCTCCACCCTCAAGCTCCCCACCTCTTCCCAATGTAAACAAAGATCCTGCTATAGTCTAGATCACATAATAAAGAGAGCAAAATAAGTGTGCCCCAAATATTAACTTACCCATTGAGGAAAGGATCTGAGCTGTTATTAGTGATGGATCTCATGTCTGGGGTCATGGCAGGCGGATTGACAGCAGCCTGAACTGGGGCAAGAGTCTCAGCTTCCATGGGGAGCTGTCGACAGAGGGCAGCTTCCTACAGAAGGAACAACAGTCAGAGTGGGAAGCAAGAGTCATTCACTCATTGTCACAAACCATGGAGCAGAGTGTACTTCACATCAAAACTTTTCACCAAATACAAAGCACTGTGTATTTACTTCCAGTAAGTCAAAATCACCAGGCAACCGTTAGTATTCTTTCTCTGAAGAAAGTCTTACAGACTAAGTCACTTCACATTCACAAAGTTTACGGGAAGCTCAGCTATTATCTGATCTAAGGGCACTTAATGTTGCAATCCTCCCACCCATGCAATTATTTAAGCACCCAAATCATAGAAAGTCCTCTCAAAACACTTTCTCAGAGACAGGGCTATTTCTATCTCAGGTTCTCAAACCAAATCTACATCAATCAAAGCAATCAGACTCCTCTGGACTATAAGGTACATTCTGGTCTTTGCCACTTACAGGCCAATAAAACTGTGGGATTACAGAGTCCAGGCTCTAAATTGCATCTGGCAGTTTTACGGTTACAGGCAGGAAAGCAAAACAATGAGTTGAAAAGTTTGCTTTAAAAAGTCAATCAGTGGCCAGGCATGGTGGCTCACAGCCATAATCACAGAACTTTGGGAGGTCAGTGTGGGCGGATCACCAGAGCCCAGAAATTCGAGACCAGCCTGGGCAACATGGTGAAATGCTGTCTTTACAACAAATACAAAAATTAGCTGGGTATGGTGCTACTTGGGAGGCTGAGGTAGGAGGATCCCTCATGCCTGGGAGGTTGAGACTAAAGTGAGCAGAGATCACACCGCTGCACTCCAGCCTGGGTGACAAAGTGAGACCGTGTCTCAAAAAAAAAAAGTCGATCCATTTGACTATTTTGTCGACTAAAATTCTGAGCTGGGGAACCATGTAGATCCAATCCAAATCCCACAGACAAGTAACTGTTTCATAGCATATGGATTTCATTAGCAAAAACAAATAATACAAGCATTATTTTATAAAAGCTAGCATTACATTGCCAAGAAGAGTCAATCCAAAAGGCTACAAATTTACTGACTGCAATTATTTTCTCTAGGTATAATCTCCAGGAGTCTCTCCATTTTGACAAACATGACCAGACATCAAATTCCTTTCAAATTTGCTGCTGTTTCCAGAAAAGAATACTTTTGTATGTTTACACTTGCATCCCAAACCAAGGTTAGGGCTTTCCCCATATTTATACCTATCAGTTTCCCACTTTCCATGCTGAAGTTATTGGTCTCACCATCCCTCAAACCCTAAAACCATGGCTACAATGGCAAACAGAACACTTAGGACTTCTAAGTTACAGTATCTTTGTTAGATCTCTTCTAGCCCTAACATGCTGTGACTTCAGAGCGTAAATGCTGTCTAGACAAGTCCTAGTGAAGTCATCAGCTATAAAAACTTTCAGTTACTAGAGTTCATTGTGCTGCTATAAACCATGAGAGACCTGATTGATTTTTTTTATACTGTACTGTTAACTTATACTGAAATAAATCTTCTAGCTGGAAAGGGTCTTTGGCTCACTTCTGTTAATCTAGATTGCAAATAATCAGAATATTTAACAAACAAATTTTGTTCAGGAATATATAAAAAGCAAACTGAAAAACATGGAGATTTTGGTAAAAAGATTTCAACCATCGTCTAAATCTTGGAAGTGCCTTCTGAATAAACCTAGAAAAATCAAATTATTTTCTGATAGTTGTTTTTAACATGGCAGGCAAGGTGCATTAGAAATGATATTATCCAGCCAAAGTTCTCCTGAAAGGCTCAGAAGGAACAACAGAGATTGAATCTGACATAAAAAGCCTGGACCCCAGCAGTCCCCATCCCTCACGTACACTTACACACCCTGAGCCACAGTTTGAACATTGTATCTGGTCAATGGTAAATTTCTAGTACTTTATTAACCATAAATGCAAGAATCTTTTGACTAATAACCCTCATTATCCATTAACACAAGTTTTACTAGACTCTTACATTTTTCAACCATTCTGAATAAATATGGGAGTTTACCTATAAATAAATATACTTTTAATATAAAAGTTGATGAGATGGCTGTATTCCTTTCTATTTGACAAAACTTTATCAACGTATGTCTTAAGAATACAAGTTGAGGGTGCAGTGGCTCACACCTGTAATCCCAGCACTTTGGGAGGCTGAGGAGGGCAGATCATGAGGTCAGGAGTTCAAAACCAGCCTGGCCAACATAGTGAAACCCTGTCTCTACTAAAAATGCAAAAATTGTTTGGGCATGGTGGCACATGCCTGTAGTCCCAGCTACTCAGGAGGCTGAGGCAGGAGACTTGCTTGAACCGGGACCAGGAAGGCAGAGGTTGCAGTGAGCAGAGATTGCACCACTCCATCCTGGACTACAGAGTGAGACTCCATCTCAAAGAAAAAGAAAAAAAGTTGAATGTGCACTTTCCAGGAGTTCTAAATTTAGATATAGTGTAGATATAGTAAGAATCATTTCTAGAACTTCATGGGATTAAAAAAATACATTATATATAACATATATGAATCATTATCTGTAATGATACATAAAATTAAATTACAAGAACAAATATCAAAAATTAGATATAAACTAAATAATTCTAAACTTTCCTATTAATTTAAATTACTCCTAGCTATTTCCAGTAAATAAAACATAAAATAATCCTTGTGTGTGCCTAAAGATATAAATAAAATTTAAAGGATTATTTAGAATAACCAAAGCTGAAAAGCCTATGCTATGTTGGGGGAATGTTTCACTGTGCCGTTTCACATTTGTTCTACCTATTTTAAATTAAAGAGAACAGAAGTTCTATTCTCCAGCATTGCTGTTTCCCTAACTACCCTGAAGACTTCACCACCAAGTCATCCTAAGGGCAAATGCTGCCTTCTGTCTGTAGGGGGCTCACAGTATCACTTTCTACCTTCAACTGAGTAATAAATGACAGAAAAATCAGAAAGGGTGTTAAATGATGTACTAGGAATTATTATTATTTTGATTATTATTATTTTATTATTATTATTATTATTATTATTATTATTATTATTGAGATGGAGACTTGCTGTTGCCCAGGTGGGAGTGCAGTGATGTGATCTCGACTCACTGCAACCTCTGCCTGACGGTTTCAAGCAATTCTTGTGCCTCAGCCTCCCAAGTGGCTGGGACTACAGGCATGTGCCACCACACCCAGCTAATTTTTGTATTTTTAGTGGAGATGTGGTTTCACCATGTTGCCCACACTAGTCTCCAACTCTTGGTCTCAAGTGATCTGCCCGTCTTGGCCTCCCAAATTGCTGAGATTACAGGTGTGAGCCACTGCACCCAGCCTGAATAATACTTTGAAATATAAATTAGGCCAGTCTGAGTTAGAAAGTTATTATTTATAATACAACACTTTATCTAAGATTATTCCAAAATCATTCTTGGGTCACAAGTTATTCCACACAGCAGCCAAAGTGAAGCTCAAGTGACCCCCTGCTCTAAAGCCACCTGCTTCCTGTTCTACCTGGATGGTAAATAGAAGCAGGTCCTCACTGCAGCCCACCACACCCTGCATGACAGCCCTGGCCACCCTTTCCTCCCATGTCTCCGATGTGCTCCCCTCCTTCACCCCCTTCCAGTCTCCTGGTTTCTCTGCTGCCCCTCCCCTTTCCTGTACCTGCACCAACTGTTCCCTTTGCTTGCAAGGTGTTCCTTGGATCTTCCTAAAGCTCATTCCCTCACTTCATGCCTGCCTCATATAGATGTCACCTCTTCAGAGATGTTCCTACCTCACCCCTGTCTAAAATGGTCTCACTCTTGTCATTTTCTATTTATTTATTTATGAGACCTAGTCTCACTCTGTCACTCAGGCTGGTGTGCAGTGGCGCAATCTCGGCTCACTGCAACCTCCACCTCCCAGGTTCAAGCAATTCTCTTCCTCAGCCTCCCGAGTAGCTGGGATTCCAGGTGCCCACCACCATCCCTGACTAATTTTTTGTATTTTTAATAGAGGCGGGGTTTCACCATCTTGGTCAGGCTGGTCTTAAACTCCTGACCTCGTGATCTACCTGCCTTGGCCTCTCAAAGTGCTAGGATTACAAGGTAAGCCACCATGCCTGGCCCACCCTGTCATTTTCTATCTCTTAATCTGCATTAATTTTCCTCAGTGTAACCCAGGTCTTCATTCTCTGTCTTTCCTACTAGAATGTAAGCTTTACAAGGGAAGGGGCCTTGTTTATCATGTTTACTCCTGTATCTTAACTAACTTAACAGTGCCAGGCATACAGTGGGTACTTGGAAATATAAACTAAGAATATTCAATCTTACCTCAACCACAAATATGAGTGAAATAATAGCCTATTGTATACAACCCAAGTAGCCAGGTGTAGACTCCATCCTCAGGAAATGGTCCTGCTGCACTCTTTCCTGCTCCTAACACAGGATGAACAGGAGGGTCGAATGGTCAGGAGACAGATGCCTGAATTGGAACCCTGGTCCTGCTATCTGCCAGCAAGTTACTTAACTCTCTGATCTTCATTTTTAAAGTGGAGATAGTAAGAGCACCCGCCCAAGAAGGCTGCTGTGATGATAAAGTGGGATAACACTACTACAGTGCCCAGCACTCAAGATCACATCATAAATGCTTAAGGAATTACTACTATTATTTCATTTTCTGAATTCCAGTCTCAAAAAACTAAAATAAACAATTTTAAAAGTCACACTGTCGGCTGGGTGCGGTGGCTCACACCTGTAATCCCAGCACTTTGGGAGCCTGAGGAGGGCGGATCATAAGGTCAGGAGTCCAAGATCAGCCTGGCCAACCTGGTGAAACCCCGTGTCTACTAAAAATACAAAAATTAGCTGGGCATGGTGGTGGGTGCCTGTAATCCCAGTTACTTGGGAGGCTGAGGCAGAAGAATTGCTTGAACCCGGAAGGCGGAGGTTACAGTGAGTAGAGATCGCACCACTGCACTCCAGCCTGGGTGACAGGGCAAGACTCTCTCAAAAAAAAAAAAAAAAAGAAGTCACACTGCCATGTGG